ACCAAATGAAAATTTTGAATTGTTAGTTTTTCGAATTATTAGTGTACCCACCTATGGCATGTGATTTTCGTGCTGTAATCGAAAGTACATGAAACAATTGATGTCACAATCGTATGAGCTATTTTCATTTTTCGCTTGACAGAACTTTCAGATTTCAACTTGTCTATGGCCTGCCTAAGACTTTTCTTTGCTGCACTCTCCTGTTGCTGAACGTCTTGCCTTTTATCCTGAGTGGTTATTGATCTTCATGGGGAAAAAAAAAAAACCCCAATGTTTTCATGTTTTCGGCCTTGTGTCTTGATACATTTTATCTCGCACAATTGCTCCTCTAGCCCACATTTGACAAAAGCTGCAGTAGGCAGAGAACATTGGGTAGCTATTGTTCTATTGTTGGCTGCAGCTTTGCCATTCCTATGTTCAGTGGAGGTCATATTTGGTGTATCAAAACTACTTCATACTTTGTCAAAAGGCAGATTGTATGATCTGCCACAGGGATTGGCAACCCTTTCCACATTTAGGGTACATGCACACTCTTCTGATGTATGACCATCAGACCTGCCTGGCAAAAAAAAGCATGGGCTGTGTAGCACTTGTGGGTTTCTGAATGTATGTGTACACAAGCATAAAAATTTGTCTAGCTTTTTATTGATGAAGGAAATGTGCCGTATGTATGTATACAGTGAGGAACAGAAGTATTTGAACACCCTGCAATTTTGCAAGTTCTCCCACTTAGAAATCATGGAGAGGTCTGAAATTCACATTGTAGGTGCATTCCCACTCTGAGAGACAGAATTTAAAAAAAAATTCAGGAAATCACCTTGTATGATTTGTAAAGAATTTATTTGTCTTGCACTGCTGAACATACGTATTTGAACACCTGAGAAAATCCGTGTTAATATTTGGTACAGAAGCCTTTGTTTGCAATTACAGAGGTCAAACGTTTCCTGTAGTTCTTGACCAGGTTTGCACTGCAACAGGGATTTTGGCCCACTCCTCCACACAGATCTCCTAGATCTGTAAGGTTTCGGGGCTGTCGCTAAGCAACACAGAGTTTCAGCTCCCTCCAAAGATGTTCTATTGGATTTAGGTCTGGAGACTGGCTAGGCCACTCCAGAACCTTGATATGCTTCTTACGGAGCCACTCCTTGGTTACCCTGGCTGTGTGCTTCGGGTCGTTGTCATGTTGGAAGACCCAGCCACGACCCATCTTCAATGCTCTGACTGAGGGAAGGAGGTTGTTGCTCAAAATCTCACAATAAATGGCCCCATTCATCTCTCCTTAATACAGTGCAGTCGTCCTGTCCCCTTCGCAGAAAAGCACCCCCAAAGCATGTTACCACCCCCATGCTTCACAGTAGGGATGGTGTTCTTGGGATGCAACTCATCCTTCTTTCCTCCAAACACGATGAGTGAAGTTTTGACCAAAAAGTTCTACTTTGGTCTCATCTGACCACATGACTTTCTCCCATGCCTCCTCTGGATCATCCAGATGGTCATTGGCAAACTTCAGATGGGCCTGGACATGTGATGACTTGAGCAGGGGAACCTTCCGTGCAATGCATGATTTGAAACCATGACGGCGTAGTGTTCTACCGACAGTGACCTTTGAAACTGTGGTCCCAGCTCTCTTCATGTCATTGACCAGCTCCTCCCTTGTAGTTCTGGGCTGATTCCTCATCTTTCTTATCAGTGATACCCCACGAGGTGAGATCTTGCATGGAGCCCCAGTCCAAGGGAGATTGACAGTCGTCTTTAGCCTCTTCCATTTTCTAACAATTGCTCCAACAGTTGATCTATTTTCACCAAGCTGCTTGGCAATTGCCCCGTAGCCCTTTCCAGCCTTGTGGAGGTCCACAATTTTGTGTCTGGTGTCTTTTGACAGCTCTTTGCTCTTGCCAATGGTAGTAGTTGGCGTCTGACTGACTGTGGGGTGGACAGGTGTCTTTAAAGAGCTCAGACGGGTGCTACTAAGTTAGATTAATGTGTGGCGTAGAGGTGGACTTTTTAAAGGCACAGTAACAGGTCTTTAAGAGCCAGAATTCTTGCTGTTTCTCAGGTGTTCAAATACTTATGTTCAGCAGTGCAAGACAAATAAATTCTTAAAAAAAAAATTCAGGAAATCACATTGTATGATTTTTAAATTCTGTCTCTCAGAGTAGGAATGCACCTACAATGTGAATTTCAGACCCCTCCATGATTTCTAAGTGGGAGAACTTGCAAAATCGCAGGGTGTTCAAATACTTCTGTTCCTCACTGTATACATGCATTTGTAAAAAATACTGACCGGAAATGCAGATTTGTGTTGGGTTTTTTCTTTTTACTGATTGGCATATGTATGTGTGGGCATATTGAAAACACCAGCAAAAAAAAAAAAAAAATACCAGTATGCCTAAGAACGCTGCCAGTTTACAAGCATTGGATAACCAGCATGCCCATGAATAACAGCAGACCGTAGCTGTATAGTTCTTAAAATTTTGCCCTTATGTTTGTACTTCTGATGGCAAGGTAAACTCATTAAGTATTAACATGTGCATACACAAAACATGTTCATTACCATCAACATTTATGGAATAGTAAACTAGTCTTTAGTTTCAGTGCAATCCGTGTCTTTCATGGTTTAGTTGTCTGGCCTGTAGGACGTTTATTCCAGCTGCGCACACTTCTGAATTATCTGCTTGAAGTCCGTTTTGAGAAATACTTAACACTGTGTTCAGAAGTGAAAAAAAAAATCTGTTAACTGATATATGTGAATCCAAATGCAAAGATTTATGAAAAGGACGCTTTTGTCCATCCATACAAAATTTATCTGGTAAACAGACCACATTACAGAAGAATTCCAGGTGTGGTCATTTTTTACATAGTTGCATTGCTCCAGCTGTGAACTATGTATAGTTCTGATCTCTTGATTCTTGTTGCCGTGCTTATGTATTCCTAACACATGAGTTCAGCAGACCATCATGAACACCATTCAGAGAATGCTTTTATTTTCTGAAGAAATCCAAACCATTCTCTGATTGGAAAAGGTGGAGAGATGGGGTGGTGATGTCATGCTCTGCATCTCATCCAGTCAGAGAACGCTTAGCATTAATTCAGATAATGTAAAGCATTTTCTGAATGGCCCCTGTGCTAAGCAGCCGACCACCTGTATTCGCAATGCATTGGGTCAGCCGCTCAGCACAGGATCCAAAAGCAAGTGGAGATCACTGGAGTAGTGGTGTCTGCTTCATTGATTTCAAGCTTTCAGGGCATCAGCTAGAGTATAGTGTGTGTGTGTGTGTGTGTGTGTGTGTGTGTGTGTGTATATATATATATAGATATAGATATATAGATAGATATATAGATAGATATATATATATATATATATATATATAGTTTTGATCCAAGCTGGACCACCTAGGTCGGGTGTCGGCAACCCGCGGCTCCAGAGCCGCATGCGGCTCTTTTTCACCTTTGCTGCGGCTCCGGAGCACACTGCCCACCAGGTGACAGGCAATAGGGTTGCCGTAGCTCAGTGGTCGGCAAGCCGCGGCTCTTTTAACCTCCCTGGCGGTTTTCCCGAGTGTAGCTCGTGGTAGAATTTCTATACCACGAGCTACACTCAGGCTTACCATGCGGCGCTGCTCTGGGGGTCCCTGCAGCACTTACCTTGTCCTTCGTTCCCGCGATGTGTCCCCTGCAGCGTCCCCGGCCATCTCCTCCGGCCGATGCCGGCATCCGCTTCTGTGTTCCGGTCCCCGTGACGTCGGGACGTACGGGCGCTGCCGGCGGCGGGAAATTTAAAAAAAATTTAAAAAATTTCTTTTTTTTTTTTTTCTTCAATTTTCAATAGTAAAACATTGCTGTTTCATCCCATTTCACATACATATTGTCCCTAGTGCTTTGTCCTGTGCCCTGCCTGCATTTTTAATGTTCTTTCTGCCTGGAAACTTAGAAAAGTCCATGGCGTCCAAAAAGCGTCCCTTTAGGTCAAAAGCGGTTTTAGACCGGCTAGAGAACAGCGATAGTAAATCAGAACCACTTGCAGAATTGAGTGATAATGATTTGTGGGGAAATTTTCCTAAAAATTACAGCCTACAATAAAAAACTATTTCCATGCGAAAAAATGGTACCGCTTTCAGCACAAAAAATCGGAAGGAATCATACCGCCAGGGAGGTTAATGCAGCTCTTCTGTGTGCCGGGCGCCCGCTCCCCTCCCTCCTCTCGGGCGGCCGCCCCAAAAGTCAGGACTCTGCAGCTAGCCTAGCAATGGGCAAACTACGGCCCGGCGGACCTTATAATCCGGCCCGCGGAGCGTGGCAAACATTGGCTGTCAGGATGTAGGCGGGGCAGCGTGACGAACTCCTCTCCTCTCACAGTCCGCCCTGAAGACCAGAACTGCGCGGGAACACGGAGAGGAACGCGCGGAGTACAGGTAAGTGAATTGACACAATATGGGAATGAATTACTATAGGGGGGATGAATTACTATATGGGGGATGAATTACTATAGGGGGCATGAATTACTATGGGGGATGAATTACTATAGGGGGGATGAATTACTATAGGGGGGATGAATTACTATGGGGATGAATTACTATATGGGGGATGTATTTTCAGTTTTAAAAATGTGGCTCTCAAAATAAATTTTAATCGTGGTTTTGGCGAGATTTGGCTCAGTTGAAAAAAAAGGTTGCCCACCACTGACCTAGGTAAAAATATGCCATGCTTGGATTTAATCTTTAACAAATTTTTGTACAGCATATGTTTTGTAGATGTGAATATTGATCTTCTGCCATTGAAAAGAGCTTTGTGTTTCCACATGGTACATTTGGTACAAGTCTTATTCTTTGGCGTGTTCCTTAGTGTAGCATAATGTTTGCATTAATGCCCACCTTACAGCAAGCTTGCTAGTAGTTGCATTCAACCATTCAAGTGACTTATTGTAATCATGGGTTGTCTGCTTCTGTGAACAGACACCAAATATTCCAGATTTTTAATCATTGCTCTCTATTTGTCTACAGTAATCATCTGGAGAAGAGCCTTCAACTCCTTATGGACCGGGTGGATGAAATGAGCCAAGACATTGTGAAATACAACACATATTTGAGAAACGCCAGTAAGCAGCAGCAGCAAAAGCACCAGGTAGGCCGTCCTGAAGCATTAAAGCACAGCGTCAGCCTAATGACTAAACACATAATTGAAAATACAAGTGAGAATATTTTTCTGCAAAATATTTTTTTTTTTTCTTCTCACAACAGGTTTTTTTTTAAAACTGTAAATATGCTTTAAAATGGAAGTCTAGTCATAAATAGTAAGTGAAGTATTAAATGCCATGAAGTAATCCAAAAGCTTGACCCTCTTGCCCATTCATCCCTTTGAGTCACTGACCTTGGAAAACCATTCCTGATTTGGCTACTTTCAGATCATTGACACAGGAAGTATTGCTTTCTGTAGGCAGGCCAATATAACAACCAGACAATTTGCAGATAGCAGTAGCTGCCCCAGCCTTCATTACATGTTTGCTTTAATCTGGTTTAACTGTAGTACAGTCAGTGTTTATGCTGCAGGATGTTCACTTAACATCTAACAGGGCCAGCAGGAAAGCAGTAGATTTGTTCTGCTGGAGCCTGTGCTCCAGTCTATCATGTTCAATCCTTAACCACATGCCGCCTAGCCACTGTAGAAATACGTTGGCAGGGTGGCACAGCTGGGCAAAACCAAGTTTTAAAACGTGTGTTTTTCAAAACGGGTAGGGGGAGTGCGCGAGGTGCGCCACCGCCCTACTTGTCGCACCGATCACGGCAGCGGATGTCAGTCGCCGGGTCACAGCCGGTCGTTACCGGCTGTGTCCCGGTGATTAGCGGCAATCACTGACAGAGAGCACAGCTGCAGTAGCTGTGCATTCTGTCAGTTCCCTGACAGCTCCTGACATGCTGAGCCGAGAGAAGAGTTTATCTCTCCTGATCAGCTTGTCCCCAGTGCAGTACACACCCCCGCCCCCTAGTAAAACACTCCCCTCACACAGTTAACCCTTTCACTGAATAATAGTTCCTCCCCAGTGCCATTAGTACAGTGTCAGTGTTTTTGTTTTTGCACTGATAACTGTATTGGTGTCACTGGGGATGTCAGTGACCCCAAGTCAGTTCCCCCCGTGTCAGAATGTCCGCCGCAGTCCCGCCATAAGTCACTGTTCGCCTCCATTATTAGTATAAAAAAAAAATGAAAAATCCCAGTATCTTTCCCGCCATTTGTAAACGCTATAACTTTCACATAAACCAATTAATTTACACGTATTGGAGTTGTGTTTTTTTTTTTTTTTTAGCAAAGACGTCACAGAATGCATTTTGGCAGAAATTTATGACTAAATTTGATTTTTTAAATTTTTTCTTACTGGACATATAGCAAAAAGTCCAAAATATATTTTTTTTTCCTCAAAATTGTCAGCCTTTTTTTTTATAGCGCAAAAAATAAAAGACGCACAGGCGATCAAATACCACCGAAAGAAAGCTCAATATGTGGGGAAAAAAAGATGTAAATTTCATTTATGTACCGTATTGCATGACCGCGCAATTGTCCGTCAAACTAGCGCAGCGCTGTATAGCTAGAAAATGGCTTAAATTGCAGTATCTATACCATAGTTTGTAGACGTTATAACTTTCACACAAAGCAATCAATATACACTTATTGGGATTTTTTTTTACCAAAAACATGTAGCAGAATACATTTTGGCTTAAATTTATAACTAACTTTCAGTTTACTATATATTTTTTATAGCTGAAAGTAAAAAGTATCGTTTTTCTTAAAAATTTTTGGTCTTATTTGTTTATAGCGTGAAAAATAAAAAGCGCACAGGTGATCAAATACCACCGAAAGAAATCTCTATTTGTGTGAAAAAAAGGACATAAATTTTGTTTGGGTGCAGCATTGCATGACCGCGCAATTATCAGTTGAATTAGTGCAGCACCGAGTAACAAAAAGAGGCCTGGTCATTAAGGGGGGTAAATCCTCAGGAGGGCAAGTGGTTCAGGCAGGTTTTCTGTATGTTGGGCAGATTGGGAGCTCTTGCATCCAAAGCAGGTTGGTTCCCCGATCTCACCTTGTTACTGACAAAGTGGGATTGAACTCAGTAGACTGTGCTTCCTGCATGTATTTTAAGGACTCATTTTCAGTATTGAAAGGAGTGTACCTTTAAAATGATCCCAGAAGAGTTGGGGGGGAGGGAAGAGAGTTTACATTTTTGCCCCATTGCCCACTCTTTTCTGGTAGCTGTGGGGATTGCTTCACCTTAAGTTAGGCATGTTTTGGTCGAACCTGTTTGCGAACTGATTGGCCTGTGGGTGGCACCCTGTGACCGTTTAGCGTCTTGTGGGGTTTTGTATTGCATTAGGCCAAATAAATGTAGAGATTTTGAACGTCACAAAAAAAGGGACAGGCTGGAACTTTTATAGTAGCCTTGCTTTACAGATGCCCCTCATTCCTCACTAATAGGGAAATAAATTATTCCATTGGGAACTCGAAGACTTATAATTCCACTAACTAGCCAGGCTGTACATTTGAAAAATTGATTTTCTTCTGTCCAGTCTCATGTTCTCATTTTATGTCCTTGGTTCCTTCCTCTGTCAGCTAATGAAGCGATCTTGCCAAAAGACCGTAAACAATTTTTTAGGTTTTCATTCAGGAAAACAACAACATTTAAAGGCACTTAGAAGCCAGGCAGACCTACCATCATTAAATATCTTTACGTTTTTTTTCTCAACCAATATCACTCAGAAGAATAGGATTTTATCGTAGGAAACTGAAGGAAAAAGTTCATTCGCTCAGGCCTCATTTACTTCTAATTGCTTTGGTCCTGGTTCATTACAGCATAGTTAATATCCCAAGCATCAATCAGCTAAATCCTAATTTGCTCCAGAGGAGTTTATTTCCTTTCTCTTGAAAATGTTTTGTTTTTCTTTTTTCTTTTTTTTTTTTTGGTTTGGTTTTTGATTTAGTCTTTAAATTCCACTATTAAACAAAATTTTGCTAATTTGTGATCTTATTCTAAATTGTTTATATTCTCCAAAGGAAAGCTGTGTTGTAATGCTTTGTGTTTTTAATTTTTGTATTTTTAACCTGTCTGCAGTTCAGCTTCAACAAGGAATTTTATTTTGGGCCCCTTTTTATATGGGATCAGATCCATCTCTTGTCAGTTTTTCAGGATGACCTGATTGGAAGCTGCATGCATGTTTATGGACAGACAGATGTAATTGGATATGTCTGCTTCCACCTTCCTCCAAGTCTGTTAAACAGCGTCTGCATCCTTCTCCATTTTTTCAGACTAAAATTTGATGGATCTGGAGGTAGTCGATGTAAATGAGCACAAGTCTGATTACATCCAGCCACCCATAGAGCCATCGCTGGTCTGCCAATGTCCACTGTCAAAATGCGGGCAAAATAAAAATAGGCATAGATGTCACAAAAGTCCTGGTCAACTCCAATTCAGCAGGGACATCTGTTCATTGCTGAATGGGCACGATGGCAGTGTGGAGGACCCTAAAACCTTTATTGGGGGGGGGGGGATTTTCCTTTATTTCCTGTTGTGGAACAACTGGAATTAAGTGGAATTTTCTCCCAAGTGATGGAAAACCTCTAACAGTTATAACCCGAACAAGTGTCCTCATTGCGATATTCCCCTCTGTTTTTTCTGGTGACCACTCTAATTTTTACATTTTTCTCACTATCAAACTAATTTTAATGATTTTGGAACAAATAGATTTTGCTATTTGTTAAATAAAAACAAGAAAAAGAACATACACTGTTGGAAATTTGTTCAAGAGAAAATGTCTCATCACTGCGGCAGAAAAGGAACATCGGTTTGACCCCACTAACAATTAGAAAATAAAATTGGCATCCTTTAAAATGAATTTCGAATGGAGAGCTAATGTATGGTCTGCTTGATGAGGTACCCTTTCCTACTAGACCGGGCTGAGTTGTTTTGCAGAGGTGTGTAAATTCCTGCACTGGATGGATATACAAATCCTTTGGCAGGATAAACCGCTTGCAGACGAATAAAAGTACAGTTCTCTCTTAAAACTGTCAAGGGAGATGTACAGGGGGATGACATCGCTGACCACATTCTGACAACTTTAACTGGCTACTATGCTGACTTTTTAGCTTTAGTACTTGGAGCCATTAAACCTGAACAAGTATGCAAGCAGGAAAGTTGGAGGAAAGTGATAAATACTGAAGAATTCTAAAAAGTACGTTGAAGATGAACTCCAGCATAAAAGTAAACTTCCTCCATAAGTGCCATTGTGTATATAACTTATCAAGCTTGTAAACTTTTTTTTTTTTGTTTTTTTTTTAACACTTCATTGTTTAGCAGAAATGTACCTTATAAAACCTTGTGACATCATTGTTTCATTGGTACAAAGTATCTACAGACAGGCACCTGGAGAAGGTATCATAAAGGCAAATAAATCAGGCAAAACAGACTCGCTGTTCAGCACCACAATGGAAACTACAATACCCATTATGCAGTGGGAATTATAGTTGTGAATTTGGGTGGGGGAGGGGGGGGGGGGGAAATTTGCTACAATGTAAACATTTCCAGGCAGAGACTTGTGCATATGACTACATCTCCCAAATATGTTGCTTAAACTATGCAATGTTGGAGGGTGGGTCAGGCAGGGAGTCCGAGACGCCTGGGCCTACCCATTGCGGCAATCATCTATGTAGCTATTTCGTTGCTCAAAGAAAAATAAACTACAGAAGGGAAGCTAGGTGGGCCAGGGAAGTGCAATTAACAAGTACAGATTCTTTATTTTAGAATCTTTAAAGCTTCCATTTTAAATGAAATCATTTTGGGCAGAGTTTCTCTTTTAATAGAAAAATGATTTTAGGTTAGTGCAACATTTAAACTGAACCTGTGATGACTTGCCACTCCATCTGGAAGTGCTGGACTCCTGATTGACAGCCGGGGAACTTATTGCTGAGCGCAGCAGTAGTCCATGTGTAACCATTTCCATCCACGGTCACACTCTCTATAATATGTAGGAAAATTACGTTCCTAACCTTTTTCCATCACTTATAGACCTCCATTATCAAGGTACTACATTTGTGTAGTTTCCTTTTTTGCTGAAATGATCAATTTCTCAACTTTTTTTTTTTAATTAACAACATATCAGGCTTGAACATTTGTCATGTTTAAAACAGAGCTCTAGATCAAAACTGTAATCTCAGTTCTTCGTTAAATGCCCCAAGTTACTTCTATAACGGCAAGCATCCTCAATGTGCATAGATCAAGATAAGGGTGGGGTAAGTATAGGAAAAAAGTGACTGGAAGGTCTGCTTCCCTGGTCACCTCACTGGAAAATGAATGAGCAGCTGCACACCCCATGAGGATATAATTATGTTCTTCTTTTCTATAAGCATGTACCCTGGTTAATCCCTGGTTCACACGAGTGCGACTTGACAGTTCAAAGTCGCATGACAAGTCGCACCCCATTAGCGGCAATGGAAATGTCCACTTTGAAAAAAGCTACTGTACTATTTCTGTGTGACTTCATTGTGACATCTATTAAATGAAGTCACACAAATGTCCGCAAGCTTCACATGAAATCTCACTGATAGTCGGCTTTGATGTAGCGTGACTCCAAAGCCGCAGAGGTGTGAACCAGGGTAAGGGTCACTTTACAACCTCTGAACAGTCAACTTTAGCTCTACCAGAACTATGTAATATGGAGACCTACCTAATCTATCCAATCAGTTTGCATCCCATCATAAATGATGAACTAACACCTTACACCCTCCCTAACTAACTAAGCTCCCATCCCCACCCCTCCCATCCCCACTGTACTTATCTCTGTGGGTTGATTAGCTGTCAGCTGTCAATGTAGTGGTCCAAGGATTTGAAATCCTTGCTGTTCTCTCCCTTCTTTCTGCAGGGCATCTGGGACTTATTACTAAACCCAGGACCTTGCATTCACTATATCTGCTCTCCCACAGTACACAGAACATGGAAATGCAATTAGTTTAGTAAATATAAACTGATAAATACCTTTTCTCAGCAGCATATAGCGGTCTTGTTAATTTTATTAGTATCCGGCAGAGCACTGGTTAAAGCTTGTTGGAGGAGTTTTCATTGTCCTCTGACTGTCCTATGAGGTTGCATGACCCCTGACTCTTTCTGGACAGTGCTGATTGGCCCTGTGCTGATCACATGCACCCTCCCAAAGAAGAAAAAAAACTCTGCACATGCTCAGTTTAGTGTGTATGGCTAGAGTGACTCTTAGAACTCTGTACTATCAGCAGATGGATTGGGGAGAGTAGAAGGGGAGGATCAGAGAAGTCTGAATCAAACAGCCTTTTTACACAGTGTGGATGATTAGGTTCCACAGTGAGTATAACAAGCATGCTTTACTGCATATACAGACTGATGTTACTGTTGTGGGTTTAGTAGCCCTTTAAACACCATTGAAAATCTGTGGAATGAATTGAAGAGTGCAGTCCACAAACCGTCACCGACCAATATGACTGAACTTGAGCAGTTCTGCAAAGAAGAGTGGGCAAATATTGCAAAGCTAGTAGAGACACATCCCAACAGACTAAATGCTGGAATTAAAGCAAAAGGTGGTTCAACGAAATACCAACACAAGGGGCTGATCCTTTTTCCAACTCATTGATTCTGTTTTTGAATTTTTTAGTAAATTACAGCTGGATAAAACAAAAACTGTGTCGGTCTTCATTTCAGGCTGATGTGATTATTTTAAAGGGGGGTGATGCTTTTCTATACCCACCGAAATACATTATTTATATTAAACACCCCACTCATTATTTTATATAATTTATTTTTTATTTTTTTTTTTTTAGAACTGGAATATGATTTATCAAAAAAAAAAAAATGAAGTTCTGCTTTGCAATACACAGTCCTCTCCTCTTGTCACTAGGATCTCCTATAGTATACTCATATGTTTTGTAGATAGTTGATTATTTAAAATCCCTGCCTCATGAAGGAGCAAGAATACTGCGCTGCAAGATGCTTGAAATAATAAGCCACCATCTGTGACATATAATAAATAGAATATTGAAAATGAGCATTAATACCGTGCATCATGGAGCAGGTGCTGGAGAGGCTCCCACCAGTCCTCACACAGCCAATTTCTCCTGCCTAATGCCTGTCACAGCCTTGTAGAGTACTGGCGTTTCCTGCAATAAATGCCTGTCTCATCCTGTGGCCAGCATGCAAATAATAAGCATTTATAGGATCCTCGCAGAGCTCGGCCGCGCTGAATCCCTCCAGGAGCAACCGAGTAAAGTAAATTTAAATCATTATTGAAGGTAATTAAAAGATCAAACTTAATTTTGTGAGAGGTGAGGAACCTGTTTTACTGCTCGGTTAGCTGGAAGATCTAATGCAGACACTGTTACTGCTGCCTGGAGCACACCCAAGACCTCTTAGCATTGAAAACGGCTTACATTTTTTTTTTCCCTTTCATATAAAGCAAATATTGAGGTGTTTAAAGAAGGGATATATTTGATGCAAATTGGGGTTTACTTTTCCTTTTAAGGCTTAGGATACCTAAAGCAAAATGTATTCTAAAGCTCTGCTAAAACTTAGTACAGTATGTGTACAGGTGTCCACAGATTTAGATGAGCTAGATATTTCCTAAAGTGTACCTATCTATTGTCAGGTTAAGTGCAAATACTGCCCCTGACCTGACAATGTTTGTCTTTTTTTTCTTTTTCTTTTTTTCCCTCAGCACCATCTTTGTTCAGGCATCATCCAAAGTCAGCATTTCATTTTTGTTCTGAGATGCAGGCTCAAAGATGACACAGTCAAGTAAATCGTGGTGTGCAGTTCTTGTCTGTGTTCACAAATGTCTGACACACCTCAGCTCCTGCCACAACCTCTCACCTTGTGCATGGCTACAAAATTACAATGTTGAAGTCTAATCGCTGGGGGAAGAGTAGACTAAGGAAATGCTTCCTCCTGCCTGAAACAGATTGATGACATCATCCCAGCCAAGGAAGGGTCACTTTACTACTAATAAAGGGTAGAGCATTTTCAAAAAAATACTATTTTGTGACGTGTTCAGGAATTCATGCAGAGTTATGATGCTGAAAGGTCCACTCGACAGTGATACTAAAGGTACATTAAAAAAAATATATATAATATGCCATACCTGCTCTGGAGCTCTGCAGTGGTTTTGCACAGAGCAGCCCCAATCCTCTTCTTGGGTCCCCTGCCAGTGCTCCTGACCACTCCCCTTTTGCTGAGTGCCCCCATAGCAAGCCGCTTGTTCTGGGGGCACTTGTGCGGGCTCACTCCCAAGCCCCACTCTGTTCATAGAAACCGCTCAGCCCTGCCCCCGCTCTCTCCATACTGGCTGTGATTGGCAGCAGAGTGTGCCATTGACTCCCACTGCTCTATCTGAGGTAGTGAGCAGGGAAAGAGGAAGGAGAGATGATCCTGCTCTTGCTGGATCGAGATCAGGCTCAGGTAACTATAAGGGGAGGGGGGGGAGTGGGAGGGGGAAAAGCACACAGAAGGTTTTTTTTTTTTTTTTCATGTTCAGGTTTTAGAACTACTTTAAGATGTTTGTTTTATGCAGCCAGAGCTATAACAGGAGTTCTAAATTGGAATTTGCTTTTACCAATCTATATTGGTCCCTCCATTGGTTGTATGTTAAAGTGGTAGTAAACTGCAAAAAAAAAAACAATGGTACTCTGCAGGTTTAGGTCATAATGTACTAGTATGCACCACACCTTTTATTAAACCTGATTGGCATACCTGTAGGTAAAAGTTCTAAAGTGGACTTTACTTCGACGTTAAAGTAGAACTGAAGGCAAAACTTCTGTAACTTGATTACCCCCATCAGTTTTTTTTTTTTTTTTCCCCATCTGTGTTTCATTAGGGAGATTTCCCTTCACTTTCTGTCTCATAGCAAAAACAGGAAGTGAAAGGAAATTCCTCCAAAATGAGTCCCTGGTTGATCCAAGGATCACCAGAACTAGCGTCCCCATTGGAAGATTTTCTCTCTTCCTGTTCTGGGGACAATCCAAAATGTGGGATTTTCTTTTACGTTCAATTCTAACCATAAACAGGACAAATAGAGAGGGTGGATCTCCTTAGCGGGGGCACAGACAGCAATGCAAATGTAACAGGTGCTCTAACCCTTCTCCAGTGTGTCCAAAACTAGAAAAAAAAATGTTGCATGCATGATAGGAAATTGTTCTTTTTATATTAAATAGGTAACATTTGGAGGGTCAGAATGCGCTGACACCATCACTCACTGTATAATGATTATTGCCAGCCTAAAGGGCAAGTCCTGTCATGTATTTGGGTAACAAATATACAGAACCCTCTTGTGATCCTTCTACAGCTATGTTATATGGCTGCAGAATATAAGAAATCACACAGCATTTTCCAGAACCACAAATCCTGTTCCAGTGCCCTGCCTCCTGTCTGCTCTAAGGACCCTTTAGGAGAACTTTCCCTTTTCACTATGTGGCTGTTTGTCCTTTAGTGATTTTTAAAGTTAGGCAGTACCCCTTTCCTACATGTTAGCTTACAGTGTTAACCATATAGATTTTCTGTTTTTGTTCTAGTATGTTCAACGACGGCAACAAGAAAACCTACAGAGGCAAAGTCGTGGGGAGCCGGCACTGCCTGAGGAGGACGTGAATAAACTGTTTAAACCACCTATGCCACCACCTCGTATGGATTCACTTCTCATTGCAGGTAATGCTTTCAACTATGTGAATACATTAAGCCAAGCCTATTGTAATCACGTTTGCTACAACACCTCAATAATGTTTGTGAAATGATAGGATAACTGGACCATCTGTAGATCCACAGTACCTAGCCCAGTACTCAGCTATATTTGCTTGCAAAAGGTACTTTATGTAAACCTGCCTAAAATGTTTAACCAGTTAAAGAGGAACTGCACTGCATCTGCATCTAATCATCACAAACCAAAAGCACTATTTAATTTATCTTTATTATTCACAGCAAACTCCCCCATCCATCCATCCATCCATGTCTCCATGCTTTATATTGCTGTGTAATCACTTTGAAAAACACTCCTAGTATTTCTGGCTGCCGGTGTAGCAGCAAGATGTGTCCCCCCCCCATGAAGATGTGTCTCCCTGATGCATCTGCGCATCCCCGCTTCAGTCGATCCTGAATACAGCTGCCAGACTTATTCACCTTTCCAACCGCTCCATCTCCGCCACCGCCCTCTGCCATGGATAGTTCTGTGCTATGGATGGTGATTGGCGATCGGCTACTTCTGCCAAAAACCGTGACATGCGTCAGGGAGACCCATCTTCATGGGGGGACTCATCTTGCCGCTACACCTGTATTTTTTTAGTAAGGGCAGATGAATTTACTTCCTGGAATTGCAATCCCATCTGCCTTAGCTGAGAAAGCCCCTCCTCTGCTCCTGCAGACTCCTGGGATTTATGATCTCATTTGTCTAGGCATGGAAGCTAGGAAGTAACTGAAGAAATGTAAAAAAAAAAAAGTTTAAAACTATTAAATATAATATACACTATATTGCCAAAAGTATTGGGATGCCTGGCTTTCCACACACAAACTTTAATGGCATCCCAGTCTTAGTCTGTACGGTTCAATATTGAGTTGGCCCGCCCTTTGCAGCTGTAACAGCTTCACCTCTTCTGGGAAGGCTGTCCACAAGGTTTAGGCGTGTGTCTATGGGAGTGTTTGACCATTCTTCTAGAAGTGCAGGTCAGGCACTAATGTCGGACGAGAAGGCCTGGCTCGCAGTCTCTGCTCTAATTCATCCCAAAGGTGTTCTATCGGGTTGAGGTCACAACTCTGTACAGGCCAGTCAAGTTCCTCCACCCCAAACTCGCTCATCCATGTCTTTATGGACCTTGCTTTGTGCACTGGTGCACAGTCATGTTGGAACAGCAAGGGGCCATCCCCAAACTGTTCCCATAAAGTTGGGAGCATGAAATTGTCCAAAATGTCTTGGTATGCTGATGTCTTAAGAGTTCCCTTCACTGGAACTAAGGGGCAAGCCCAACCCCTGAAAAACAACCCCACACCCTAATCCACCCTCCACGAAACTGTACACATGGCACAATGCAGTCAGGCAAGTACCGTTCTCCTGGTAACCGCCAAACCCAGACGTGTCCATCGGATTGCCAGACAGAGAAGTGTGATTCGTCACTCCAGAGAACACGTCTCTACTGCTCTAGAGTCCAGTGATGGCGTGCTTTACACCACTGAATCCGACTCTTCGCATTGCACTTGGTGATGTAAGGCTTGGCTGCAGCTGCTCCCCCCCCCAAATGACCCCCTTTTTAAAAGTAGACAGTCTGAGGTACTTAGTGGCAAGGTGCGGTTTTTTTTTTTTTTTGCCCAAATTTTTTTGGGAAAATGAGCAAATTGATTTTTTATTTTTATTTTTTTCTACATACTGTGACTAGTGCAATACAATATCATCATATGACTGGTATGGCGGTGATCAGGTGTACTGACTGACGACAGTATGTTGTGTGTTTTTTTTTTTTTTTTTTTAAAGTAAATTTTTTATTAACTTATTTTTTAGTTTTTCAGTTTTTTTTTGTCATCAGACTACCTCAGTGTCATCATAGTGACATTGTACTACTCTGTGGGACATATCAGGAATTTTTGTCACTGTTATTGCTTATATAATAAAGATCACTGTATAAGCAATAGTTTTAACTGGCATGAATGGGTGAATTCATGAACAGCTTGCTTTTGGTTGTGATCTGGCATTGGCTACAGCTAATCACATGGTACAAGTAGCCAAGTTACATGTGATTGCTGTGGGCCAATCACAGGTCACAACAGTAAAGCAAGCTATTCATGAATGCAATCACATTCATAACAGGTTGTTTACATTATCATGTGATTTGCTATGACACCCGGGTTACCACCAGACACAACGTTCACAGGAGGAGCACGCTGCGTACCCTTAAATCAGAGCAGACAAAATGGCGTATATGTACGTGATTGTGCGCGAATGTGCCTTACTGTGGGCTCGGCAAGTGGTTCAATAAAAACAGAGGTCTCAGTTGTGTACACTTACGTGGGGAAGCCTCACACTGTTTCGAGACAACTTTTTAAAGTGTGATCCTCCACTAATCTATGGGAACACCAACACAAGGATACACGGAAAATATTATGCAGATCCTATATAAATCCCACACTTGGGTATGTATTAGATTTCCTTTCATAGTCCGCAAGGCCACGTTCTGAGTTACATTGCGTTGACCCTTGCAGTGACTTGCCTTATCCAAGTAACCTTCTACGCAAGTTATATATAAATTAGCTGCTCGCTGTCTAATATTGACTCCATTCATTGAGGATATGAAAATATATGGGCTGGATTCCTTTTACTGCTCTCCAGATCTTTGCTAGGAAAGTTTCACACCCTAAATGGTCCCTCGGGGTCTTATGTCACTTAATCTCCACTTGCAGAGTAGTGTCAGAATCAACCCTTCTCTACACAGAGCCATCACCAGGTGCTAATATGTCACCATGGAGCTGCCCCCCCTCTTCCTGCGTGAAAAACACAGCGCATTTCTCTGTGTGATTGTCCCTCTCCACAGACTCCCCCCTCCCCTTTTTAATCTTCACGTTTAGGGTCTCCTACCCTCCTGTAATTACAGTCTAATTGCATATAATGGTTAAGGAAACTATGTACATTTTCTCTGAATCAATGCCCTTTTAATATACACACTAAATGATTTTTCATGTATTAACCCCACTCGGGCCTAATGATTTTTTTTTTTTTTTTTCTTTTCCGTTCACCGTTCTGGTGAATGCTGATTATAGCTCAATGATTTCCACCATGTGGATGGAGTCCAGCAGGATAACACACTTTTTATTAGGCCTATATATTCCCTCTAGCTGAATAAGAGAGAGACTTGTAGAAGTGCAAAATGCAATGGCTTACCCATGATACCCCGCAAGGCTCCGGATTCATTTTCTACTTGGATGGCTGCTGAGCTGTGATTTGGATAGCTCACTCTGAGAATATTTTTTAATAAAGACAATTTACATTCAGCAACAATAAATACAGAGCAGATTTCAGCTACAGAGGTTTTTTTTCCCCTCTTAGCAATGCATTTACGAGGTAGAGCACAATTATATTCTGTGAGTATTTCATGTACCGGGGAGACCCTGGGATACAGTGTGAGTGAAATCAATTATTGTGCAGTAATTACATTGTGTATTTACATTCCACACACTGTTAAGGTTCATACACGTCTGTGAAGCCCCTCTGTCACCCTAGACAAGAAGCAAATGACGAGATTTTTATTTTTTTGCTTAGCTGATTTGGATTAAATACCTTGTATTCTCGAGGGATGCTTGCCAAGGGCTGCAGACCTGAACATTTTTCTTGTTAAAAGAAAACCTGTTTGTGAATAGAAAAAAAACTAAACCCCAAGTTTAAAGCAGGTACCACATGGCTGCTGCTGCTCTGCTTTGTAATCACCCCCAGCCTGTGATTGGAAAATAGTTGCAGTGCATGGAAGAGGTCACCCCTCTGCTATCCCATCAAGCAGATTTCCTGTGTTCCTGACTGCATGCTTTAAAGCAGAAAACTCAGTTTGGCTCTCTATGTTGGTATTTTTTTCAAATACACAATTATTGGCTTTTTAATAATTACATTACTGAGCAAAACGGGTTTTTTACCTTGATTTCTTCTTTGACTCCTTACTGGTGAGCGTGCGTAGATATGCAGCCTCAAGGAGGAGAGTCTTTATCTATGGGGCTGCATATATGCACTTCTGTATTTGTGCTGTGAGCATGCTCCCAGCACAGAGACTGAGCTCTCCCCAACAGGTCTGGGTCTTGTACTAATGATTGGTAACCAGGAGGATCCGTTCCCAATCACCCGATCACTGTACAGCCTGACCCTGTTGTGCTTTTTTTTTTTTTTTTGTCCTCTTGAATGGAGAAAAATACACCTTTTTCTCTTTACTAGAGGAGAAAATTGTTAACCATAAAAAAAAATCTAAAAATATATTAAAGTAGCTAGATCAGAGTTTGATCTAGATTGGGGGGGGGTATGACCTCCAGGAGAAAAGTATCTTGGGCATCGAGTGGAGGGAAGGGAGACCTGGTGATATGGCAGCACAATAAGCACTGGAGCAGCTCTTCAAGAGTGGAAGCCGACTCAACAGTAAATAGCAAGGAAGGCGCATGTAAGTGCAGTATGCAGCAGTTTATTGAATTATAAAAGGTAAAAAGCACTTAGATGGCAGTCAGATAAAAGATCATCAGGTATAATTGCAGGTGAAAACACAAAGCCAATCAGCAGTAGTGAGTGTGGCAGAACGCATGAGCAAGATGGCCGCCGTACTTCCAGGAGAGGCTTGGAATGCACACGCCGGTCATGTCAAGGGGGCGGTAACGCGTTTTGGTGCATGCACAGACACTCAGATCTTAGGGAGTCTGTGCATGCTCTGCAACACGTTACCGCCCCCTTGATGTCATGTCCAGCCTGTGTCTTCCACGCCTCTCCTGGAAATACGGCGGCCATCTTGGCTGTGCTTTCCACCACACTCACTACTGCTGGTCGGCTTAGTGTGTTCCCCTGGCTGTATACCTGATGACCTTTTATCTGACTGCCATCTCGTAGGTGCTTTTTACTTTTTATAATTCAATAAACTGTTGCATACTGCACTTAGAGGCACCTTCCTTGCAATAGAAAAGTGATGTGGTGCGGCTTTGTGCAGGGTCTGACACTGCCCTGAAGCGTCAGAGCTTTACCTCTCAGAATGGCCTGGTGTTCGGTTTTAGAAGCAAACTTTTGAATTGCTGCAAGTGTGCACCTCTAGGTGCATACAGCAGTTTTTCATCTACAGGCAGTCCCTTTTAGAGCTTTAAACGTGAATGTTGTTGGCTTTGATCGGACATAAACCTCTTCTGTATGCCACTCTGATCCTAGTTTCATTTTTACAAAGTCATTGATTTCCTGTCTAAAAATAAAAAGTAAAATTGTTGACAGGTTCTCTTGAAAGGGAAGCCAATTTGAATACAAAAGCATTTAACTCACAATACTGTATAAAAGCAGATAAAAAGTTAATAAATGCCTGGGAAGCTCTTCAAACTCCAGCACAATCTGTAATATAAACTTGAGCTCCAGATTAGAGGTCTGGCACCCCTTCTGCATCCCTTAATCTAGTGTCTAATAGAAAAGTGGTTTGTGTAATGCAGCAGTTTGGGGTGTAAATCCTGCTGCTTGGTTTTTGTTTTGTTTTTTTTTTTTTTTTTTTTAAAGCCAAATTCCAGGTACATATGTAAAACTACTATGTATTTATTTATTTGTTACAAACCAATATTTTTTTAACTGCAACTAGTGGTAATATCTGAGTTTATCTTGCTAGCAATGTGCTATATTTTCTCAAGGAGCAACACCTCTGAGAGTCTGAAACACAGTAAGCATGCGAGCAGGAAGAAAGAGCAGGTTATCCAATGGGTATCTTGATGCTTTATTGTCAAGCTAGCAAGAAAAAGGTGTAATTGGTCAAGCTTTGTTGTAGTGGTGTTCAAATACCTAGCCATAATATTGGCAGGGGTGCCTGGATCGCAAAACGGGCTACGCAGAATTACAAACCTTTGGCAACCAAAACTATTGCCATATAGATTTCAGATTTGTTTTCATCTGCTTGCCTTGCCTGGAGTTCAGCCTTAACATTGGGCAGAATAGTCTTTGCAAGGCAGAAAGTGGAACCTTATATGCTGTACTTTTAAACACTGATTGTAGAGCAGGAGAAAAATACAAGGAGTTCTATTCAAGGAAAAATCTCCTTGACCTCATCCCAAATGTATACACAAGCTTGCTGATAATTGCTACCAACTGCAGCCATTTACCAGAATACTGACCTCATTGTCCTGACTTCATATGATAATCTGAAGAGACAGTGATGTCACAGGTTCAAAATCAACAACCGTTACCCCCTTCACACCACTTACGACCAGATATTGTGCACTGGACCAATGTGGAGTTTTTTTTTTTCCAGTAAATTGCTGAATCTTGTAAATCTGTCACTACACAGGACTGCAAAACTGTGCTATTGCCATTTTAACCCTTCTGAGCAGAAGTCTGGATTGAATGACTGCAACTCTATTATTAATGTCTCTCTCACAGTTTTGTATGGTATCAGTATTGTGGAATATCCTTCATTTTCCTCCTATGAAGGTATATTACCTGCCACTGAGTGGAACTGGTATTCTCACTGAGATATCTCACAACACAGTCCATGAGCGACCTAGAAAGCCATCATTCACTTCTCAACAAATGTGCATAGCTCAATTTTTTGTTTTTGGGATAGAGTTGTCCTTTAGGTTATGCCAGTTCTTGTTGCAAAATAATTTTCATAATGTGACAGATGCTTCATACACATATGATCTTCTTGAGCAATGTTGGACCTGTCTATAAACCACTAAGCCACTATGTCTGTTTTCCTCACAGGTCAAATTAACACGTACATCCAGAACATAAAGGAGTTCACTTCTCAGAACCTGGGAAAGTTGTTCATGGCTGAAGCTTTACAAGACCAAGTTAACAGTTAAAAAATCCGACAACATCGCTTGGATAACTTTTATTACTAACATTGAACTTTCAGGAAAAACAAATAAATAACTCTCAATGTTTTTCTGGGTTTGTTGTGATTTTTTTTTTTTTTTGGACACTTTTATGAGGTTTCTGTTTCTCTCGTCAGTAAAAAGACACCAAAGTTTCTGAAATAAAAAAAAACCCTATTGCATGAGCTACAGTTTGGCATTCCTCTACATACCTGTCTATCACGCTTCTTTATATGTATGAAAGGTACAAGAAATGGCTCACACAAATGTGAAAACCATAGAATGAAAACTTTGGTGTCTTTTTTTTTTTTTTTTAGTAATTGGCCACTTGTCACACTCGGTGCTTTGACTTTCAAATGCTTGAAATAGTACCTGCTCTCACTACAGTGGGGATGGTAGGATGTTGCAGGAGGTGTGAGTATTTGTATTGTCACTACTGATTCACAAACCTGTAGCTTGTCAATTAGCACATGGCCTTGCCCACTGCTTTCTGAATTGACCACACTGATTCTGCTGCTGGATAGTGAAGATAATGGTAATCAAATGGCAATTCCAAGCAGAAAAGAACAGTCCTAGAACTAAAGTTTGCTTAGTTTAGCTTGCAGTACCTGCTGGAAAAGCAATATGGGAGTTGCTGCCGCTGACTTAATTTAAAAGGTGTCCAAGCAACCTATTGACTATTTTTTTCAGGTCAGTGACTTGCTATATAGTAAAGCAAGGTCGTGTCTGAAAGCTCCAGAAGCTGCACCTTTTAAAACCCAAGTCGGCCTTGACATCTCCCATACATCTATCTAATCACAGTACTTATTTGAGGGCTGCAGCCACTTGCTACACAATTGTTACCTTTCTGGAAACTGCAGGGAGAATGGTGCTTGGAACCTAGGAATACATGACCCATATGGCCATATGATACAAGTTAGACTCTAGGCCAATTCAGAAAACAAATATACTGGCAAGCATAGGGTCAGAGCAAGCAGCGTACCACAAGATATATGCCATCATGACAATTGGGGACAGTAAGCAAGTAAGCTACTCCATTGAACTGAACTTCATAAGCATAATGGGGAATTGAGCTGAGTGCTGCTCTTTACACAACGGAGGGCAAGTGTGGGGTTTTGAAAGCTGTGTTGAAGCATTAGAGTTTTTTTGTAATAAATGGAGTTGAGTGAATACCTAATCAGTTCCAGAGCAAATAAAGCAGTTAATTAGATGTAAAATGTAATGGGCATAAGGAAATGGCAATGATTGAGCATTTCTTTGAGTCTATGGTGAGCATGTCATAACCGGATATGAATGAATGTGGATAGTATGGATAGAACTTGGCATACACAGTATATAATACAAATCTGTGGATCCATCCTGACTTGTGTTAATGATTCAGGCTAGGGGAAAATGGTGTGGAGAGTGTTTTCTTGGTAAACATAAGGCCCCTTTGTATACAGTGTATAATGGTATAATTTTTTTCCTTTATTAAAAAAAAAAAAAAAAAAAAAAAAGGTAAAAGTCTGAGTTTTAATATTAGGGCACTTACCTGTCCATGGATCCAGTGGTGTCCTCACGCTGAGCTGATTCTTCAGTCAGCTGTGAGTGCTGGAGCCTCCATCTTAACTAAGGGAAACCAGCAGTGAAGCCTTGTGGCTTCACTGCTGATTTCCCAATGTGTATGTGCAAATCGTGGTGCGCTCTGTGAATGGGCCGCAGTCCTCTGGGACTTAGAATGTGTCCCAGAGAGCTGCTGGGGAGGGGGTGAACTTCCAGCTCAGTTCGCTGCCCTGAACTGAGCTAGAAATGGGAGCGTGTATCTGTCAAAACCAGGAGACAGAAAAGTGAAGCTTCCACTTTTGGCTGAAACTCCTCTTTATTGCTAAGCCATAAGTGGTGCTCTGGGCTTATTTTTGTGTTTTCCAGACGGTCATGAGAGCCTTAATTAAAAAACAAAACTTGTTTACAGAGCTCAGCCAAATCCCCCACCCCACCGTTATCACGCCGCTTACCCGGATACTGTGTTATGCACAGTAAGGATACTCGCCTTGCCAGTGGATCCAGCGTTGACCTGCTGGGGTCCTCTTCCTCTGCAGCCTCTGCATGGGTCCTGTCATGTTGCCCCCTGACAGCTGCTGACTCTTCCACATGCAGGTACCATTAGGCCCACCCCCACCTTACTGAAAAGAATGTACGTCATGCATCCTATGAGGCACCAGGGGCAGCGGCATCATTTGCCTAGGGTATTGACAAATGATGACAGGTGGGCCAAGGCTCTTATTTGAGACAAAAACACACACACACACACGTCTGTACTACGGTGTGGAAGAGGCGGAATGAAGAGAGGAGTGCACTGGAAGGGTGAAGGTCCACTTTAAGGTAAAATTTGAACATGAATGAGTCTGTACTCTCTTCAAAAGGTGAGTAAGAGTCTATAATTAGACAAATATTGGCTTCAAATATGCTCTCACCTAGGAAAACCCATAATGCTCCCTTAATTCCTTGTCATGGGTGTACCTGCTATTAAATGGTTATCGGTGAAACAATAAGGTGTGGGAAAAATGAATATTTTTGTCTTTGTATTCTGACCCCACTGAAGTGAATTGCCTTCACTTCGTGTCAGAATGACAGAGGTGCAAGAAATTAGGGTGAATATTGTCACTGTGAATGGAAACAACAAATCTGACTTTTCCCCATTTTAGTAAATTTCTCTAAAACAAACAGTGGTGTTTTTGTTGTCCCTTTGGGTGAGATTTCCCATTGCTAATGTTCTACCAGCTCTATTCTAAACAAAAAAAAAAACAATTTTGGCTAGTGTAGGGTTTTAAATGACACTGCACCTCTGTGTACAGCTACTAACCATAAGCACACAGTAAGAGGCCAAAGTGTAAAGTAACCCATAGATTACGCACTTGTCTTTCTTTCCACCAAGGGTGAAAGGAGAGAAAATTTCTCAACTGACTGTGTTGATGGGAAATCCCTCCTGCTGCGCTATTGTGTTCTGCCGATGGGGCACTTTCCCTGTCAGAAGAACACAATGATCACTGCTGGTGGCTATATCTGCCAGCAGTAAGTGCATGTTAAAACAAAATCTGACAAGCTGGTTGTATTGAAGACTATCGATGGATTGACTTCACCTGTGGGCAGGCTGGTTGTACTGAAGTGAATCTCAGCTGGTTACCTGCTGAACCGGCCAAGATTCAATCTGTCTATGGCTGGCTTAAGCTGCAAGTGAGTTAAGATTGTTTGCTTGATTTTGGTGTGCCACAACTGTGCATGGTTCCGACCCATTGTTCAGTGCCATTAGGATGTACCGATCTGACAAGGTTTTAAGCAGGCCATACCACAGGTTTCAGGAAAGAAATTTTCTTGACAGGGAATCCCTCCTGCCATCCTCACTGGGAGAAGTGATTATTGCCAGCAGCTGTACCATCCGCTAGTTAATTGCATGTAACATCCGGCAGGCTGGTTGTACCCAAGTTAATCGATCAACTTGGTACATTCACCCTGCCCGTACGTTGTTTGAATCTCGGCTAGTTCGAACTGTCTGAGGCCAGCCTTACTTTCTAGATTGTGCTTTGACCTAATCTATCTCCCAGAGAATAGCAATTGTTAGTTTGCTGGGTCACGGTTTTCTTTATACCTAATGTTATGACCGAATTAGATTATTGGGCAAAATGCATTTAATTGGGGGTACAAATTAAGCTAGGTTAGGAATAACAATATAAATAAGTAAAAAAAAAAAAAAAAATTTTATATATATATTTTTTATATATATATTTGTGTTCAGTCAGACATCACTAACCTGATCAATCACTGTTTTTGGAATGATATTTCTACATGGCAAATAATTTACTAGCAGGTGTAGTAGAGTAATAGAAATCCAACAGTCATGACATGCATGCTGCTGATTCTGTGGAATTGAATCACTAATTGAAAAGGGCATATTCAAAATAATAGCAGTGTGGAGTTCTATTAATGAGGTCATTCATTCTTTGAAAAACAGGTGCCAATTATTGCCCTTATTGAAGGAAGGAAGGCAGCAAATGTTGTGCATGCTGGTTACAGTGCATTTCTCTCTGAAATTCTGAGGAAAATGGGTCGTTCCAGACATTGTTCAGAAGAACCGCGTACCTTGATTTAAAAGTGGATTGGAGAGGGGAAAACATATAAAGAAGTGCAGAAAATGATAGGCTGCTCAGCTAAAATGATCGCAAATGCTTTAAAATGGCAACCAAAACCTGAAAGACGTGGAAGAAAGCGAAAAACCACCATTCGAATGGATAGAAGAATAGCCAAAATGGCAAGGACTCAGCCAACAATCGGCTCCAGGAAGATGAAAGAAGGTGTAAAGTTACCTGTGAGTACTGTTACAATTAGAAGACGCCTATGTGAAGCCAAGCTATCTGCAAGAAGCCCCCACAAAGTCCCACTGTTGAAAAAAAGACGTGCTGAAGAGGTTACAATTTGCCAAAGAGCACATTGACTGGGCTAAAGAGAAATGGCGCAACATTTTGTGGACTGATGAAAGTAAGATTGTTCTTTTTGGGTCTAGTGGGCGGAGACAGTTTGTCAGACGACCCCCAAACACTGAATTCAAGCCACAGTACACTGTGAAGACAGTGAAGCATGGTGGTGCAAGCATCATGATATGGGGATGTTTCTCATACTACGGTGTTGGGCCTATTTATCGTATACCAGGGATCATGGATCAGTTTGAATACATCAGAATACTTGAAGAGGTTATGCTGAGAGGAAATGCCCTTGAAATGGGTGTTCCAACAAGACAACGACCCCAAACACATCAGTAAACGTGCAACATCTTGGTTCCAGACCAACAAGATTGATGTTATGGAGTGGCCAGCCCAATCCCCGGATCTTAATCCAATAGAAAACTTGTGGGGTGACATCACAAATGCAGTTTCTGAGGCAAAACCAAGAAATATAGAGAACTGTGGAATGTAGTCCAATCATCCTGGGCTGGAATACCTGTTCACAGGTGCCAG